TACTTTGTAGATGACTTTGAATGCATCGTTGTCTGGCTGATGCCCGGTATTATAGAGGTGAGATCAGAGAACATAATCCAGCTTGGCTGAGAACGAATTGCAAGAAAACGATAACCAGTGCGATTATGGCCGACCTCGCTGATATCGGGCATCAGCCAGACAACGATGCATTCAAAGTCATCTACAAAGTACCCCAAAACAAACCGAAGCTATTACGAAACGTCACTTGGCAACAGCGGCAGCTGTAGCAATCAAAATCATTAACCCACCACTGTGCAAACAGAGGAGGATGGTTGCCGCAATTCACCCGTTTTTCACCCGAGGTGTAAAATTACTTGAGCTGCTTTTTCATAACAATCTCGTTCTCTCTTTGATTGATTGAAAATCCCATGTGATTCATTTCAGACGGAGTACAGAGCCTAAGATATGCCCACACAAAAAGCTATCCATCAAATCATGTCCACCGGGTTTCCATTTGATCACAAACGTCGTACCTTGTTTTATAAGCAAACTTATGGTAACTTTCTCTAAATAGCTGTTTCAAGAAATTATCTTTCAGGGTTTTGGTTCACATTTCTGGTTGAACTTTTGACCGAAGTAGAAACAATGTGTCCAAGAGTTTGTTACGGAATAAATAAATAAATGGTATTATATTTGAATGCCCGATTAACTCTTTTTGTGAAAAAGAGCTCACATAAAGTCCTACTCAATAGCAGACATACCCTGTCTTATGGGCTTCTTACCTAGTTCAGTATCCTAACTATCAGGGTTTATCACAAAATCCTACAATCGAATTGAAAGTGTTTGCAATGACGGGATTAGACCTTTTACCATTTAAAAAATAATTTCAGAACAAATCTCAAATTATAAAGTTTCTCCTCATTATTATCCCGTCCCCTGCCATCAGTTGAAAATTGTAACTGGACCTACAATAGTGTCATGACCGGTTACGGAAAGTAATTGATCGATAAGGAACTAAAAATCCAATGATGTAACTATTTAACTGTTTATCTGTTCAAAGGTTTTTAATTATTCAGTAAATTATGCGAAAAATGCCCGTAGAATTGATTACTATCTATAAGCGACTTACGAACGCTTCCCTCAGCTGAACCAATTTGAACGGTACCACATATACGATAGAGGAACGAGTTGTGGCTGACTAGAATGTCCTCCAGATCGAACGGGAACAAAATGTCGTGGGAAAATGTCAGGGATTATCGATCAGAATTTCAGATAACGGGATACGGCGGTCACACAGATTTGGGCAGTTGATACAATTTTTTGTTTGCACTAGCGCTTGGACATGATGATCACGATGATAACCGTACCGAGGATGCTTTTTTGTTCAATGCTATTATTCGCAATTATTCTTGAATGCCCCAATCCGCCACGGTGTATGTCAAGAACCCGCGGGATTAATCGATATTTATCTTTTTGACATCAGTCTGGCACGCTGAATTACATTGATACGAAAAATACACACAAAATATCACAAATCCAAACGTTGCGTTCTTTTTCACTTTCGAAACAGAATACGTCGAGTAGGCCCTAACATTTATTTATCATTGATATTTACCATGGTGGTGGCGCATTGGTTTAGTCACTGTCACCGACGTGGTTTGATCCCTGTGGTCCGAGGTTCGAGCCCGGCCAACTTTGTTGGTAGGCAACTGTGCTATTGCCAGGTTCTATACCACGCCTGAGTTAGTGAGGTCTGGAGCTTAGGTTTCCGGTTACTAACACTGAATAGCAAATCTTCGTGAATATGGAGTCTGCTGTTCATCACACACTGGTGTGTGATAAAAAAAAGAAATTCGACACCATCGAAAACAAGAAGCGCTCTGAAGGTTAGTTACCTCGTTGAATTTTTCTTGCTCAGCGGAATATCACATTTTAAGGGATGGGGGGAGAAGGAAAGGAACCAGTTGACAAGGGTTTTCTCCGTCGCCATGTTCTCTGGAACTGTGCTAATGTGAATATCTAAAAGTATGTCAGATTAGTAATAATGTATTGGGTTGTGTCTTTGGATTCCTGTATGAGGTGGTGAGATTGTTTGATTCCGAAAATAAACCATAATAAGAGCTGTGTCAATAGAAACAGTTGTGCTCCAAATAATAATCAAGTTTGCCGACTATCAGTTTTTTGTCACCGGAGTTTTGAGAAGGATTTTAATTCTCATTTACAGGACTTAAATCACAAGGAGACCGCTTTTTAATGGAAGCACCGAAACGTCATACTCGTGGGAACAAGGCAATGAGTTGTACTGGTGGACGGCTACTTTTTTACTTTATTCATTGTGGTGATGGTGGTGGTGGTGGTGGTGGTGGTGGTGGTGGTGGTGGT